CTGCTGATTATTAACTGTTAAATCAATATTGGATAATTTTTGTTACTTTGATTTTCTTTATTCACATTATGTGTATGAAATAAGTAATTGTTGGTGGTAATATTGCTAATGTAAGGCGGTAATACCTCTAATAGCAATATTATTGAATGTAACAGCAGGGCCATCACTAAAATGAGGCAGCCTGAGGCACTGGCCTCAGGTGGCATCTCATTTGGGGGGGTGGCAAAGGTTCGGCCACAACATCCCAGTTGCTAAGAGCTCTGTGACGCTTTGTCCAGCTTCCGGCCTATCCTCAATGACATCACCGGTTGCCTAGAGCTGAGTGTCTCCTGGCAACCGGTGACGTCGTTGAGCTGGGTGGGACACTGGCACCCCACCTGGTGGCGATTAGTGTGTGTACCAGTCAAATATTTATTTTATGGAAAGGGGAATGCTTTACTTTATTTAATTTGTGTGTTAGTGTCTACCCTGCATGAGGAAAATTCTTCCGGGTTCCGTCCCTTGCGAGAGGCCGGGTCGCAGGGGGGCGGAGCCGGCGGGAAGCTTTGAAAGTGAAAAAAATTAAAAATTATTTTAAAAATAGAGAAAATAAGGGGGAAAATAAATCATACCGCCAGTGAAACGCGCGTTTCATTGAACGGAAAAACGTGCTAAAAAACACAAAAACAACCTGAAAAACTAGCAGAAAAAATACGCCCAGGTGTGAATCCAGCCTTATATATTAATGTAAATGTGATTAAATACATTTTACATAAAACAAGTACTTGAAGGAATACCTAGAAAAAGAAAAGCCACTGCATTTACCTTTTCCAGTGCACTGTGTTTTGAAATTTTGCTACAATGATGCACTTTCTGGGTGGTTCCAGTAGTGCAATGTCCCACCAAAGATGAAATTCAGAAATCTTTACATTCTTTAAAAGTGTAAAGTACCATCTTAAGCAGCTTTTCTTAGCCTTTTTCCAGTCGTGACACCCTTTAAAAATATGCACAATCACGAGGCACCCCAGTCTAAATGTAAAAAAAACGACGTGTTGCCCCTCCGAAACCCATATCCGATCCTTATCCCAGATATCGGTCTGGTATGGATTTTAAGGGGGACCCCATACAAAAACACAAAATATAATGGGGGGAATTTATCAAAACTGGAGCAGACAAAATCTGGAGCAGATTTGCACTGCAACCAATCAGTTCCTCTCTCTCATTTTCAAATCCAAACTGAGCAAACTGAAGAGAGATGCTGATTGGTTGCCATAGGCAACTGCTCTAGTTTCTGTATGCTGCAGTTTTGATAAATTCCCCCCAATGGGTTTCCCACTTCACACAAAGTCTCCCTTTTGAAATTGACTTGCTATAAAACACAATAAAGATCGTACATGAGTAAATGATACCGCTTTCTATAGGCTAAATCCTAAATGGAGGTATTACAGTAAAAGGAGAGAAATGACTGTATGGGGGATGTAAAGCATTATGGCCACTAGACCAAAATAGGTATTTATTACCTGTGTTCCTCAGCTCCATCCAGTGGCCAATATTACATTCAACCTGAAAGGAAAAAATACTGAGAATGTTTGTTTGTTTTTGTACCTTTCACACAGAATGCATGTTTATAGACAATAGCAGGGCATACAGCTCTGCAAATTATTTATAAACTGCTGATTATTAACTGTTAAATCAATATTGGATAATTTTTGTTACTTTGATTTTCTTTATTCACATTATTTGTATGAAATAAGTAATTGTTGGTGGTAATATTGCTAATGTAAGGCGGTAATACCTCTAATAGCAATATTATTGAATGTAACAGCAGGGCCATCACTAAAATGAGGCAGCCTGAGGCACTGGCCTCAGGTGGCATCTCATTTGGGGGGGTGGCAAAGGTTCGGCCACAACATCCCAGTTGCTAAGAGCTCTGTGACGCTTTGTCCAGCTTCCGGCCTATCCTCAATGACATCACCGGTTGCCTAGAGCTGAGTGTCTCCTGGCAACCGGTGACGTCGTTGAGCTGGGTGGGACACTGGCACCCCACCTGGTGGCGATTAGTGTGTGTACCAGTCAAATATTTATTTTATGGAAAGGGGAATGCTTTACTTTATTTAATTTGTGTGTTAGTGTCTACCCTGCATGAGGAAAATGAGGACCTCTATGTTCCACATGTTGGGTGGAGCACAGAAGTTAGATACTTGTATACTATGTGTAACTGAGCCAAGATGTATGATAAATATTCAATGCACTCTGAATATTAGCAGGACATAGAATGTGTTTTTTGTGCAGTGTATACTAAGGCTCTTTTTCTTCCATGTTTTTTTCTCTACTACTGCTGTATTGTCACCAACCATCAAATGGTTAACTGCACCTTAATAGACCTGTGTACCTGTATATTTTCCTATGTCTGTTAGCTTCTTCATCATTTTAAATCATTAGCACCCTATGTCCCCAGTTATGAATGAACAGGAAGTGCTTTACATCACTTCCTGTTCATTCATGAGTTTCTGAATGGATAGTAGCACTCAGTACAGAGGCTTCTCCCCATTCAGAAACTGGCTGATAGTAAATATTTTCTGAATGAATGGGAAGCCTCTGTAGTTTCCATTCATTTAGAATAGAGGCTGCAGAAAAAGAGATTGAGGACTCTGTGTCCTCAATTTCTTTTTTTATTTTAAAAGGGAAATTACAGGGGTCTGTTTAGGTCCCTAATATTTCCCCGAAGTACCCCAACAGTAAAAAAAAATTTAATAAAAAATAAATAATAAAAAATAAATAAACACGCACGTGCGCGGTGTTAGGTGATGTCACATGCCTGTTGGGGGAAGGCACATTTTTTTGTTCTTGCTAGCTACGGCTCTGCATACACCTATAGATTGTCTGCAGATTTTTTTATGGTCAGTGTGGATGGAAGAATCTCCCACTGGGCCAAGCTTCAGTATCTTGCTAGCCGGCCCTGCTGGCTGTCAAAACACCTGAACATTGCCTGCATCCAATCAGATTGTTCAGGTATTTTGAGAGCCAGTTAACTCTAAACTGATGGCCCGTAGAAGCTTTTAAAACGTCTTCTATGGAAAATTTGGGGTACCATATTTTTTCACCGTTTCACGGACGTATGCAATTTTTAAGGTTGGCATGTTGGGTATCTATTTACTTGACACAATCTCCTCTTCTATACTGTAGAATTTTTTTTAGCATTCTATTGTGTTTTTGTGCACTAAAATTAACTTGTGTATTTTTTACTGAAATGTTGGGTTTGAGAAGTAATTTTCAGGCCTAAAATATGGATTATAACATTTGTGCAAAAAATGCTCTGCCAGAAACCTAACCTGAGATTGAAGACCATCACGAGACTCAAAAATATTTTTCCCTCCCCCCAATGTTAATTAAAACACTTACCTTAAATGATGTCTCTTAATCTGATCTTCTTCTACTTTCCTGTAGTTTTCATCTGTCCCTCCAGCGCTGCTGCGGGTCTCCGATCCAGCGCTGACTTTCCTGTCTTTGCTGGCACTTCCTGTCCCTTTTAATGTGAAAGCCGCACAGCCGCGCCAAGGCACCTCTTATAGTGCACCCCCATGTGCTCCAAATGGAGACTCTCATAGTTTAGAGTTAGGACCGCACTATAAGAGGTGCCATGGCGCGGCTGTGCGGCTTTCACATTTTCTGCAGCAGACGTGTGTCCAAACCTCTGTTATTGGCCTTAGTGGTGAGACAAGTTGTTTTACATGCTGACTTGTGAGTGTGCCATGATGCCTTTCTACTGTTTACTGTTTAAAGCCCATTTCGTGTGCACCTTACTGTATAGTTGGTGACAAATTGTTGAGTGCGTTTGTCATTTGTTTTGCTTGACGTTGGGTAACAAGACACCTGCTGGGTGCGGGTCTCCGATCCAGCGCAGACTCCTCTGTCCTCCTCTTCTCTCATGTCCCATGGTATTTGGTGCGGGTGCACGCTGCTCCATAGACTTACCTTGTGTTTCTCCTCGTCTCCCGGCCAAACATCTGAACTGCGCATGCGGCCGCCAGAAATTCTTCAGATGTTCGGGAGTGGTGAAAGTACAGGTAAGTTTTAAACCTGTTTGAAAACGTTTTTGCATATATCTACTGCTTGCTAGCAGTAGATATATGCAAAGAAGTGAGGGTTTAATAACCCTTTAACTCCTGAATTTAGTGTCATTTTAAGTATAAGGGTGGGAAACAATGCTGACAAGGGGAGGCACCAGGAAAAGTGTTTACTCGATTGCTGTGTCTCATGTCAGGTTAGCACATTGGGATTGAGGACGAAATAATTAGGAGGGATGGATTGTGGCAGATGTAATGCACTATAGCAAAAAGTAGGTGTGGCTTAATAAAAGTCTATACAACTTACTCAAAACTGGAGCAGGCAGAATCTGGAGCAGCCGTGCACAGCAACCAATCAGCTTCTCTCTTTCATGTGTCTAGTTAAGCAAATGAATGAGAAGCTGATTAATTTCCATGGGCAACTGCTCCATTTTTTATTAATTTCCCTCTATGTGATTACAAAGAACTGTGACCCAACAGCTTCCCCCCTACAGCAGGGATAGGCATCCTCTGCACTACAGCTGTTGTGAAACTACAAGTCTCGTGAAGCATGGCATGATTCCCAGAGGGAGAAGCATGATATGCAGTTTCAGTTCAGCTGAAGTGCCAAGGTTGCCCACCCCTGCACTACAGGCTGCCTGCAGAAAACTACAGGAGGGGTCAATACAAGATCAGTCCCCCTGCAAAAGGAGAGAGCAGCAGTGACTGGTCTTTATTACAGGAAGTAAAGTATCAGATTAGATTACTGCACAGACAAGTCACCCCAAGATTCAAGTAAGCACACACAGGTAGGTAGATCTGACTCAGGAGCAGCTATCAGTAACAGGATAGCCAAACTAGCTGTTCAGCGGATTGGTTAGGTAATTGTACATTCCTCACTTCCTCATTCAGAAATAATCACCAGAGGACAGCTTGTCCTCTGTACTTGTCTCCAGCAGCCATCTTGGGGAAGCCTTGTGTCCTGATAGGACACGAGTTCTCTCATGATTCTGTCGACCATTTTAGGCTGGCTCCTGGACTTTACATATGGAGTGTGTTCCAGTCTGGAGGGACAGAAGAGGGATCCTCAGGAATTCTGCCTAGGACCCCCAAATCGTGTGGAAGAGTCTCCTTATCAGTGGGAACAGAACCAGCACCTTTCTGTGTCTGTGGGAGAAGACAGTGTCACTGTATTCCTCTGCTGGACCATTACTGCTACATTTGTATAACCTTCTAAAGGATACCAGCCCCTGGCAAGTACTCCTGGTGTGACCTAAACAATATATCTGTGCATAGAGAGGGCATTACTGTCAGATAAGCTGATATTTGTATCTTTTATGGATGTACAGCTTAGTTGTGCCTTATACGCCTACAAGGAAACTGTTCTCTCATTTGTGTAAATGATATTTTCCACTGCTGCCTATCCGGCAAAGAAAGTTATTGCATTCTCAATACTAAGCAGTAGTGCTTCCCTCTGCAACATAGCCACACACAGCTCTTGTTTGTAGATCCTATTTATCTTGGAGTTCAGCTTTATTTTCATTCATTGCTGTTGTACCTTGTCACAGTGCATAGAGCACATTCATAATCCCCTGTTTGTGTCTGTGCTGATGACTATCACGTGATGGATGTGCCTTGTGTTCCAAGGAAGTGCGCTGAGATGCAGAGTCTCCTCATATGGCATACTTTGTATTCTAGGGATGCATGCACAGCATCCTTGGTATCAGGGGATGACAAGCTCTGGTCTGCCAGCTGTTGTGGAACTGCAAGTCCCATGAGGCATTGCAAGATTCTCACAGCCACAGGCATCTCTCAGAGACAGATGCATGATGGGATTGGTAGTTTTACAACAGCTGGAGAGCTGGGGTGGTTTGCCCACCCCTGGTGTACATGTAGTGGCAGCGCAGGAGCTGGGGTGGTTGTTCCATGTCTCTGTTTCAGTTTGTTGGCAGTCAAAATCTCCAGGTCACTCTGCACTGGCCAGAATGCATTGGTGTGGGGGAAGAATTAGCTCAAAGTTTCCACAGACAAGCATGTGCACATGGAAGCATAGCATTGTTGGAAATGTAGTTCTCCATGCCTTACATTGTAGTTCCCACTGTGCTCAGTATCCTGTAATATACAGACTGCCTGCAGAGCCCAGAGGCAGCCATTTCAAAAGGAGCCATGAAGGCTTTTTTTTTTTTTTTTGTATGTGTGTTCATATTCAGCAACTGCATATGCCTGCTAAATATACATTTGTTGTACATTGATGGCTTATGTTTTTAAAACCATTCCTTTACAAAGCTGGAAATGTGCTTTAAGTAACTCTTCACTTTTCCCTTCTGCCAAGTGTGTGCACTAGAGAGCAGTGAGAGGTCACCCTGTTGTGTATACATACTAGGGCTGCCACTTGTTCCGGATTCACCTGGACAGTCCGGGTTTTATGTCCTGTATGTGCTATTTCCGGGTTTCAGGTCAGCTGCAACCCAGACACAGCACATACAGGACTCAAAACCCGGACTTTCCAGGTGAATCCGGAACAGGGGGCGACCCTAATACATACATACATACATACATACATACATACATACATACATACATACATACATACATACATACATACATACATACATACATACATACATACATACATACATACATACATACATACATACATACATACATACATACATACATACATACATACATACATACATACATACATACATACATACATACATACATACATACATACATACATACATACATACATACATACATACATACATACATACATACATACATACATACATACATACATACATACATACATACATACTACAACTGCTTTCACTATCCCTGTACACATTGACCTGCTAGCTTCTCACTGAATTTATATCTATGGGGCTCATGATATTTCTGAATTGGTGTTTGGTTCTTAAGTCAGGGCTTTTCAGACTGTCCTGTATTCAAAGGCTGTGCAGCTACTGTACACCGGTATTCAAGGTCACTATTTCATGGGTTTGTGTTTTGTTGTTCTCCAGGCAAGTCAATGTGTTTAGTATTGTAAGCACATTGGTTATTTTAGGCTTCATTCACACATGCCACTTGCTTTGTTGTCCTCCTATATGAAGAGGAAAATCTGGCAGGCTAGATGCTGTTTGTTTCTAGACCAGGCCTCAAAATGTCCACTCGCCCCCTCGCAATTGGCGAGTGAAAATTGCGTGGGGGCGAGTGGAAACTCATCGAGGAGCGCAGCCGGCGGGACCAGAGATGGGACACTACCGCCGCGGAGATGCTTACTTCTGTTCTCTCTTCTCATCTGCTGCTGCAGCTACAGAGCGGCTGACAGGGAGAAGAGAGGACTCCACCAGGAGAGAGAAGAGGCACCTGAATACCAGCTAAGTGCACTGTAAGTCCCTTTTCTTTCTTCCTTACACTGTGCGTCACACTGACCCTGCACTGTGCGTCACACTGACCTCCATGCTGTGCGTCACTGACCTCTGCGTGGCGTGCGTCATCTGATGTCTGCGCAGTGTGCGTCACGCTGACCTCTGCGCGATGTGCGTCACGCTGACCTCTGCGCGGTGTGCGTCACGCTGACCTCTGCGCGGTGTGCGTCACGCAGACCTGTGCGTCACGCTGACCTCTGTTTTTTTTTGGGGAAATAAATACTTGTTTTTCTTGTATTGTGCTGAAATGAAAAAGAGATGAAACTGGCACTATGGAAGTTGTATGCACCACAGGAGAAGCAGCAGCATTGATGGAAGTCCTATGTAACGAAGGGTAGTGTCTATGACAGTCAGTTGGTCTTGTGCGAGGCTGGGCCTCACACAGACAGGAAGTTTGTCTGCTACAATGCCCTTCAATGAAAAAAGGGAGGCAAGCAAGTACCAAAGACAGACGCAAATGTGACGGAAACAGATGAGGCTGCACTGTTTTAGATGACCATACCCTCAAAGTCTTATACTTAAAGTATTACCCTTAAAGTATTACCCTCTGGGTCTGCCTCTGACAGCGGGCTTTGCCTATCTAATCAGCCTGCTGGGTGGATCTCGACAGTATTGTCGGGATCTGCCCCGGCTGCATCGCTCTCAGTAAATAGCAAAAATAGCCCTTGATATACTGAGCTTCAGGTCATGATAGGTGGTTAGTACATGTTCTACTGTGGCCCTAAAGAGAACTATGGGATAAAAGGTTACCCCATAGTTCTCTTTTAAATATCCTCCTTTTAGCCAGATCTTTGCTGCAAACTCTCCCAGCCAGTTCGATCACGTGTGCAAAAGTAGCAGCTATATTACCACACATGCGTAAAAGAAGCAACTGCTTGGATGGGGGACCTTTCAGTGGTGGTTCTGTAGCAAAGATCTGGCATGAGTGTGGACAACTGAGTATAATGCAGGGCTGTGGACATTTAAAAAAAAAAAAAACTACTTGTCCAAGGACTAAAGCGGGGGCCCAATCTACTTGTCCCTCATGACAATCTACTTGTTGTGATAGCAAAAATAATTTTACCCAAAGTCATATTTAACTGTGCTAAGAAGCGCTTCTCATTGGTCAGAGCTGTGACCTGACGAGCGAGCAAAATTCAAGATCCATAACGCAGGGATGCGCTGGATGGCAGTATGTGGTACATAGAGTACATCTGTGGCGGCAGAGTGGAAAGACCTTTCACCAAAAAGTAAGGAGAACGGGGGCCAGATTTGAGTGGGTAATTCCATTTTCCCAAAATACTTGGGAAGTGAACTTTCCCCTTGATTCACATTGTACATGTTAGAGAGCATTGCTACCACAATATGGCACACAAATGACAGGGGTGGTATTTTATTTTTTTTTACCTTTTTTTTTTTTAATTTATTTTTGTTATATTTTAAATTTTTTATTTCATTATTATTTTGTATGTATTTAATAATGTAAAAAGCAATGTACTCAACAGTTCTAAGGTCCTTACAAATAAGAAGCGGTGTGGAGATGGATGGCTGTAATAGCTGATAGGGCAGCTCAAAATCCTTCTTGAAGTCGAAATATACATCATGCCTTGCCAGGCACATGTGTTTCACCGATTTGCAATGGCATGAATGTGACGAGTCAGCTGTATTGAAAGAGTGTAGTTGACATGTGTTAATGCCCCCCCCCTTTTATGCAAATGCCTGTTCTAAGGAACTGTAGTGAGCCTTTTGATGGGTGTGGATGTGATTCCCTCTTACCCAATTGTTGCAAGCAATGTTTAGTCTTTTCTTGCCCATTGCTTTTTGTGGCTTTTCTCAGTTTGAGTGCAGGTACAACACAGACACTGGAATTGATCAAATTTAAAATGTAGACATCAATCTTGCATCCACCTGACAAAAGGGGAGCTTGCACCAGATTCATGTACCTGTTGCAAACAGGGAGATAAGTGTTGCGCAACCACTGCCATTTGCTGTGCGGAGGTGCAATGAGGCTTGAGTGTCCAAACCTGGCACTACATCCTCAGTGCAGCTCAGAAAAGCTGGGCCTGATAAAATCACAGGCTCAACATTACTGACCTCCCTGCCCGGCCGCTGCGCCAGTCACACAAACGGGTGCATCGTCCGAGATCTTATACGGTGGGTGGACGGAGCCTGATTGTTGAATTCAGAGAACAGAGTTCTCTATCAGGTCCCCTTGACAGAAGGCAGTGGGTAGGTGCAATAGCCAGGCTCTGGCTATTGCCACCAGGCTCTGTGTAAGACAAATGTAAACAAGGGTGAATTCTGGCTGACATCATTGCCCAAATATGGTCATATTTAGGTAATTATATTAGCAGGCATACCCAGCCCCTTTGTTTACATTTCAGCTGCTAGCTGGGGAATCTCCTGGCCGACACCTGAATGGGGCTGGGATTGAATCATTAATTGCTAGGACTCTGGCGGCTCGGTGCCTGAGCGACCAAATTGGAATCTGTCAGATTCATGACAGCTTCTCAGTACACACGCTCCACCATGAGCACTGGCATCTCTCTGTACCACAGAACAGAGTTTATCTTTATTACCTACACAACTTGGCACAAGTGTGTGTGTGTGTGTGTAATAAAAATAGTTCTCTCTCGGGTCCGCTCCTGTGCTCAGTGGGTGGGTGCAGTAGCCAGCCTGCTATTGACTATTGCAGTTTGAAATGGCCAATAGCAGGCTGGCTATTGCTCCTCGTTGACTGTGGAATCTCACCGCTGGCTGGCCGCAAGATTTAAACATAGACTTTCGTTAGCAACTAAATTTAGTTGCTAGTAAAACATTTTAGTGTGCACAGGTCTATCAAGCAACCAGCAGAAAAAATCAAGGACATATTATGTCCTTCATTTTTTTTTTTTTTGCTGTTTTCTTATTTTTATTCCACTTTTGTGTATTATACACTCAAACTATTTTTCTTTTTTCTTTCATGGAGAATTTGGATCTGGTCAGTGGAGGCCAGATAGGCACCCCCCTTCCCGTGCAGCAACTTGAAGTAGTGATCTATTGCTGGCTTCAATTACCAGTATCACTATAGCACTGATCTACTTCTGCAGGGAGAGGCTGGTCAGAGCTGCAACAGCTTTACATCAGCCTCTGTACTGGCTCCCCGATGCTGGCGACGTACACTGTACGTCGTCAGTCATGAAGGGGTTAAACAAGCTACTATGTGGGTTTAGTAAGCTTTAACACTACATGGGGGGTTTTGAAAGCCTGTTTCAGTCTGCATTTCCATTGTGGTCTGTGTTTAATATCTCCATACATGAACTAAAGTTTGATTTAAAGATTAATTCCACTTTTGAGAAAAAAATTAATCCTCTGGATGGTGTGTGTGTGTGTGTGTGTGTGTGTGTGTGTGTGTGTGTGTGTGTGTGTGTGTGTGTGTGTGTGTGTGTATATCGGTGTATGTATCCCACCTCAACCTAACCACTGAACTATCACTTTCTCAAACAATTCATCCCCACACAGCTTCCTCCTCATGTATCACTTCGCCCTCCCTTTTAGATAGTAAGCCCTCATGGACAGGGTCCTCCTTACCATCTTGATTTGTATTGTGATTGTAATGTCTTCCTTATATTGTAAAGCGCTGCACAAACTGTTGGTGCTATATAAATCCTGTATAATAATAATATTGCAAGTTTTTTTTTAACCAACTTTTGCAGTTTCCTACCCATTTCTGTTCTGAAGAAATATCTTTTTGTTTCCTAATATCTTTTCCAAACTGATTTCTAAATGGGAGGGTATATGGTCATTATAACTATTAATCCTTAGGAAATCCCTCGCCAAAAATGAAATTTATATTTCAAGTGACATTTCTTGGGGTACACCAACTGTGCACAGGACGCCTTCAGGTCACCATATTGCATTACATTTTTTTGACAATTGTATACCCTTATATCTGCTTTTGGAGTCAAATAGTAGGCCAAAGTAGGTTGCAGTTGGTCTGTTTTCAGGAGCATCCACACAACTCCCAATTTTGAGTGAAGAGTTATTGCCTTCTTACACAATTTTAGGTCTGCTGAGATATATGCAGAAATAGCCACTGCCTCCGTTGTTGGTTTTATGTGAGGCAAAGGTAATTTTTAATAACATTAAATAGCTTTTACACCCATCAGATGAATTGGATTAATCTTTTTAATGAAAAGTGATTCTTGGCAGAGCATGTCCATACATTGGCAGACCAAATATGCCCTCAAATGACATTTTCACCCTAGTAGAACTGGTGACATGTATGCTCTGATCACTACAGGGTTGCTTTTACAAACTCATAATTTCTCTGCCTCAATTAATAGCACAATGCACTCTTATCCACTTTGTGCACTTGTGCTAAAACATTATCTTCATTAGATCTGCTTCTAGAGTCAAATAGTAGGACAGAGTAGGTTGCCGTTAGTCTGTTTCCAAGAGCATCTACACAACTCCCAATTTTGAATGAAGATTTATACACAATCTAGGTCTGCTGTGAAATATGCAGAAATACCCACTGCCTTTTGATGTTGGTTTTTGTCAGGAAAAGGAAGGACCAGAGATGAGTCTTCCGGGAAAGAATGATGGTGAAAAGTGCTTTAAGGAGGCCTAGGACTTTTATCTAGTTGCTGAACTACAATGCTACAATAAAGTAACTTGGTTATGAGAATTCTTCTATTGATTCATTTTGGTATAGCATTTTTACTCTCATTTTATCTCCTTATTAGGATATTTATTGTGACCATGTCATCGATCAAGTGTGTAATGCAGTCTGCGAGGACTTTAAGACACTGTGCCAACAGCTTTTGCACCAGAAGGACAATCAGCCTCTTTTCCGGTTCACCTACTACTACTCATTGGAGCAAAGTCGTTTCAGATGCTGAGAAAATTGTGGGTTACCCAACTTCCTTTATGAGTCTCCGTTGTCTCCTGAGTGATGAATTGAGCAATATAGCCATGCAAGTCAGAAAGCTGGTTGGAACAAAACATCCTTTACTGAATACAGCCAGGTACTTCATCGCTTTTCTGTATAAATGAACATCATCTTCTATAAAGCTTTATATAGCGGTGTAAATATTATGGTTTTAAAGGCTGCTTGGGTTGTATTGTTTTCCTTAAATGTTATAAGATGTATTTGTTGTATACGCGCGCACTTTATACAATCCCAGAATGCATTATTCGTAATAGAAATTATAATGAACTGTAAGCGTATATGCGCGTAAAATACGCAGAAATACACTGCCTGGACTCATCTGGGTTCCATTCTGTCGTTGGCAGAAAGGGGTGGCCCACACTGAGTGGTTGGTCAAATATACTGTTCGTAGTCAAATGTAAGGGGCCGGTCACACCAGTTGCAGTGCGTTCCGGCCCGATTCTGGCCAGAACGCACTGCCTCGCATTGCGGCCGGCTCACTTTTTAGTGGGACAGGAGGGGGCGTGGCGGGCCATTCAAGTGAATAGCACCATAGCCACGCCCTCCGGCCGCAATGCGAATCTGGCCGGAACGCACTGCAACTGGTGTGAACGGGCCCTGAGGCTACACAAATAAGATACATTTTTCTTAATAGTTACGGTACTTCAATGCATTTTAAAGATTTAGCGCCTGAGTTTGGTGTCACTTTAAAATACCTTAGTCCAGAGCTGGACAAATCCCAGGAGCCAGGTGGGCATTGCTCCCTAGAATTTACAGCTGGCAACTAACTTTGGAGGTTTTTTTCTATTTATTGTCAATAGAGCTGCCTCCTAAAAAAAAGAAATCCACCTGTAGATAGAGTTTATCTACTTCCTGGTCCAGTTCTGGCACAAATGATATAATATGCCAAAGCCTTGCATCCTGCAAGGTTACATTAGCAAACTGTTGCTGGGAAATCTCAGGGAAAGGCATTTTCCTCCCCGGAGATGATGTGCATGGTCACATGTCTTAGTCACATGTGCCGGAGTTCCAGGAAGTAAAGGGAGTGCTAGTAACCTGCTCTTAGTAAACATGGCCACTGTCAGGATACTGGGGAAGAAAAGAGAAATGAGGTATGCAAAGAATACAAGTGTGTGTATGTAGATTGTCATTACTAAACATTTCTAAAGGTGGGTTTGTTGTTATTTTAAAGATATGGGTAAAGTTCCTATTTAACCCCTTTGCTGCTATCACTGTTTTTTTGTTTTTTGCACACGGTAAAATGCACATTTTGAGCCAGAATAGTTAAAACCCCCAGAATTCTATATTGCCTAAATGCAAAGACCCTGTAGAATAAATGGCAACAGTTGCACATTTTTATGTTGTATGATATTATCGCAATTGTTTATCAAACGCAAATTTGCAGTAAAAATACACAAGTTAATTTTAGTGCACATAAAAACAATATATTACTTTTTTTTGGAACAAGGAGGTTGTACTGAGTCAGTAGATACCAAGCATGTCAAGCTTTAAAATTGCGTACATCTGTGAAATGCCTAAAAACTACGATATACAAAAATGTCTGTAGGTGATGATTTAAAAGGTGATTAGTTTAGCATAACAGTGAATAATAGCCCTAGAATGTGGCACAATCGTTGACTTCATATGTAGACGCACCCAATGCATGTTAGTATGTGTGTGGGGGCGGAGGACTTTTATAGAAAATTTTGGGGTGTGTTTAAATTTTTTTAAATTTAACTTTACTTTTAAAAAGTTCTCTCTCTCTCTCTCTCTCTCTCTCCCTGGGATCGCTCCAGGGAGGGATGAGAGACTCCAGATGCACAGTTCTACTATAAGCTGATGGTCGCTAAAGCGACCATCAGCTTATAGTAGAACTGTAAATGCCAGGTCCGTACGACGTACTGAGCTGGCCAGCTGGAAGCACTTTTGTAGCTCCGTACGACGTAGTCCTTGGCAGCGAAAGGGTTAAAGGCTATTTAAACCCTCGGGGGTTTTTGCATATATCTACTGCTAGCTAGCAGGGGGCGGGCACATGCACAGTACAGATCTTCGGCTGGGAGACGAGGAGAGCCACAAGGTAAGTCAATGGAGGCACCGTGCATCCGCTCAGACTCCGTGGGACAGGAAGCGCCAGGAAGAGGGAGGAGTCAGTGCTGGATCGGAGACCGGCACCAGCGCTGGAGGGACTCCTGAAAACTACAGGAAAGAAGATGATTGGATCAAGAGGCATCAGTTAAGTCAAGTCCTTCACCAGCATTGGGGGGGTGGCAAGAATCTTTTAATTATTACGGCAGGAATTCCTGGTGTTCCTGTTCAGTCATTGACGGGGTGATAGCGGGCACATCTGTCAGCGGCAATCTGAATCGTACATTGTATGAGTACGTGCACTTTGGGATTGAAGATTGTTGGTGGATGCAGGATAGGATACAGTGGCACGATTTGATCGGAGGACACCTGGCATTCCTGCCACAAGAGTCTGTAGGTTCTTGTGGCAGTAATACCAGAGTGCCCTGTGTGAATGCAGCCTTACCCACCGCTGCAGGAAGAGAAACCATTATGACATATGACCAGACCAAAAGAAGGAGGAAAAAAAAAAGTATGAACCTTTTTTAATTTAATTGAAGACAGCAGGTAGTCCCTCAGTGGGGGACATGGACTTGAGCTTCAAGTGTTTGGATTCAAATACATTTGTTTAGAGCGATTTTTAGTATGTTTTAATCAAACTTGTGAGTAGTAGCTGTGGCATTGAGATTGGTATGGAATCTACAACTGGCAGCTCTATGCACAAAGTAGTGAAACTGCATTTTTGAATGACTTGCCTTATCACAAAAGAAAAACCTCCATTGATCATAACGACATTGTGAATCAGGTAAAACATGGTGAGGTACAATTATTCTAACAAATGCGCTGTTTAAATATACTACAATGAATATAGAACTGTGACCCATTGCTTTAGCCTTTCTGTTTGGTTAATGAATCAAATCGACATCAGATGACAGGTCCGTGTTGCCATGGTGATGGAAATGTAGAATGGATTTTTTTTTTTCCTTTTTAAATTACAATGAATTTGTATCCCTTGCTACTTACACGGTGTGCTTGTTCGTGGCTTTCCAGACAATTAATCCCCTCAGAGCTTATGGATTCAACTATGTTGTTCGTAGATCTCAACACCAGGAGCTTTTAAGATTATGTGCAAACACGATAGCCCAAGTGGATGCACATGAATTCCTGATAAAGCTGAATATTGGTGAACTTGATTCAAATGTACATCAGAAAAAGATGGGTTGTTTTTACTTTAAATTCCTTCTAGAGATGATGTGACTGTTTATTTTTGTAGTACATTAGTGTACTTCTATTCACCATATCTAAACCCAAAAACAAAAATGTAATATATTTCAGCTTACCAATTCTTAGATATGGTGGCTGAATTATTTATTTATATTTTCTAAAAGGCTTTTTTTCCTTTTTTATTTCTACCCGGTGATCATTCCAGTAATTGTTATTTTTCAACTTCCTTTAATAGACTAAGCTGTCCAGCAAAATGGCAGTTAGATGGTTGCGACAAACTATTTACCACTGACAGGGGTGCTTACAATGTTCAACTTTTATTTTTATAGTCAATTTGTTAGTCAAGTCCATCTTAATCTGTTACCCTCAGGGTGGCAATGCTCCTGTCCCTTGGTGGCTTAATTGCTCCTCCAGAGAGCGTAGCCACCCTAAGACAAGAATTGTGTTACTTAGGGCGGCAACTAACGATTCTTTTTAGAATAATCGAATAAAATAAAATACAAGCTTTTATTTAAAATAAAAAAAAAGTATGAACCTTTTTTAATTTAATTGAAGACAGCAGGTAGTCCCTCAGTGGGGGACATGGACTTGAGCTTCAAGTGTTTGGATTCAAATACATTTGTTTAGAGCGATTTTTAGTATGTTTTAATCAAACTTGTGAGTAGTAGCTGTGGCATTGAGATTGGTATGGAATCTACAACTGGCAGCTCTATGCACAAAGTAGTGAAACTGCATTTTTGAATGACTTGCCTTATCACAAAAGAAAAACCTCCATTGATCATAACGACATTGTGAATCAGGTAAAACATGGTGAGGTACAATTATTCTAACAAATGCGCTGTTTAAATATACTACAATGAATATAGAACTGTGACCCATTGCTTTAGCCTTTCTGTTTGGTTAATGAATCAAATCGACATCAGATGACAGGTCCGTGTTGCCATGGTGATGGAAATGTAGAATGGATTTTTTTTTTTCCTTTTTAAATTACAATGAATTTGTATCCCTTGCTACTTACACGGTGTGCTTGTTCGTGGCTTTCCAGACAATTAATCCCCTCAGAGCTTATGGATTCAACTATGTTGTTCGTAGATCTCAACACCAGGAGCTTTTAAGATTATGTGCAAACACGATAGCCCAAGTGGATGCACATGAATTCCTGATAAAGCTGAATATTGGTGAACTTGATTCAAATGTACATCAGAAAAAGATGGGTTGTTTTTACTTTAAATTCCTTCTAGAGATGATGTGACTGTTTATTTTTGTAGTACATTAGTGTACTTCTATTCACCATATCTAAACCCAAAAACAAAAATGTAATATATTTCAGCTTACCAATTCTTAGATATGGTGGCTGAATTATTTATTTATATTTTCTAAAAGGCTTTTTTTCCTTTTTTATTTCTACCCGGTGATCATTCCAGTAATTGTTATTTTTCAACTTCCTTTAATAGACTAAGCTGTCCAGCAAAATGGCAGTTAGATGGTTGCGACAAACTATTTACCACTGACAGGGGTGCTTACAATGTTCAACTTTTATTTTTATAGTCAATTTGTTAGTCAAGTCCATCTTAATCTGTTACCCTCAGGGTGGCAATGCTCCTGTCCCTTGGTGGCTTAATTGCTCCTCCAGAGAGCGTAGCCACCCTAAGACAAGAATTGTGTTACTTAGGGCGGCAACTAACGATTCTTTTTAGAATAATCGAATAAAATAAAATACAAGCTTTTATTTAAAATAAAATACACAAATGGAGTGTTACAAACATAATGTTTACTTAAGAATAAAACCGTATGCACATTTTTCTCTAG